AGATCTCAGATAAATAGTTATTACTTATTTGAGTAACAATAATCATTAATCATAGTAATATTATATTATTAATTGACGAAATAACTTCGAACATAGGGTAACGACAATGCTTTTATTATACATAACTAATAATGACAAAATGCAGAACGAATACCATGAATGTGACCACATTGCTTACATTGTTTCCTTGTTAATCATAAACAGTTAAATTGTGTTCAACCATGTTTTATGAAAATTAAATATTTCAATTTTTATGTTACTACCAATATTGAATATTCTATAATAGTATTAAACAAATAATAAGACCTAGTCATAGACGTAAATGAGGTTCTCAAATTCCATAATTCACACAATTTTATATTTTTATCTATGATAGTTACAATTCAAAACAATCATAAATTAAATGTAAATTAATGTATTGTAGGTATACATTTAATAAAAAAGGCTTTATACAGTTATATAATTATTGAAAGTACCTATTATGTCATTAATCACGAATGGCTTGACCGATTGAAGTAAAAGTTATACCAATATAGATTCCTTAAGCCTGGGAGTATGTTTATAGCGTATTTTTTAGCTCACAAATTTAATAATTAAGATAACCTATATATATGGTTCTATATTAAAATATGTAGTATTAAAATTATGTAACATATCTTAGGGAGGGCTTAATATGACTCAGACTTACCCTCCCCTATTTACGTCCAAAGTAAACATAATATGTTTAAAAAAACAAAACGAATTAACAAAATATTAACGATGTAAGTCTTCCAGTTGCGGGGTGCCGCCACTGGGTAACTTCCCCCTCCTGTTAACCAAAAATCATCACTAAGCTATTCTACTTCTAGTTCAAATCAGCCAGAGTTAAAAAGTACTCATCTGAATAAAAATATAATTGTAATGACATTATTGTTTTGGATATAATTGAGCGCAGACATCAGGTGAATAATGTCATCCTGAAGTCTGAACTAGCAGTAATTTAAATAAATACAATTTACTGGCAGACAAATCATGTTAAAATAGTTGTGACAATTTTGTTTTCATGCAGGTACAAATAAAATGTATATTTTCTGATATGAATTTATTTTTAAAACTTCATTATTTGTTTTATATGAAATAATATTGACATGCAATGCCTATATTGTATATACATATTTCAATACTTAAACTTAATATACCTACTCTGATTTATAATTATTGTTCTAAATTGATATGGTAAACAACTGTAAAAATGATAAGCGACAAATTATTATAATTTATAATTGCTAATAATTAGCAATTATATCTGGTAAATTATAGTGTATAATATTAGTGCCTAACATATTATAAGCACAATTGCATGTCAATTATATCTACATATGTATATTATAAATATTATTAGCATCAACTACAAGGTTATTAGCTTACAGTAGATTAATTTATACATTTCGATTTTTTTTCAAATATGAGATTTGTTTATTGTCATCTAAATATGGTCCAATTATTTCGTAGATTAATTATTTTTTGGAATGTGGAATACGTTTCATCAGGTATCCTTGTGGGTCCTCGTGTGACCAATTCTAAATCTATTTAAAGTAACTTTTCCCTTGTGGTTTAAACTAAAGAGGTTTGGCTAGAGTTCATATTTAATATAATATATCCTATGCCTATTGTCTATATGGGTACGAATACATTTGAATAAATACAAATTTACTCCCTCGTGTTGTGTTTGATATAATACTATTGATTTGTATGTAGTAAATACTACGGTACATTTAGGTATAGAACAATAATAAATAAACCTATGAAACATTTAACTTTCATTAATTCAATAATTTTTGGAAAAAAATTATGTTTCCGCCCAGGATCGAACTGGGGACCTTCTGCGTGTTAGGCAGATGTGATAACCGCTACACCACGGAAACAGTCGAAGACGATTGAAGGATTCATCAGTGTTGGGTAGTAACGTAACGAAGTGTTGTCAGTGTTCGGTAGTAAAGTAATTTCATTAGAATTATTTCAAAGTAACGAAAATGTAATGGAAATTACTTTTGAAAAGTAATTTCTACAGAAATTACAGTTTCGAATTATCAAATACCTACCTATCTACCAATTTCGAATTGAAAAAAAAAATATGTATAATGGGTTTATTATCATGTTTACCAATCTAATATGTATAATGTATATTATATATTTAATTTTAACTAGCCACAATTCACTTTTCAATGGTTTTGGCATTTTAAATGTCTAATTGCATCTATATCAAGAGAACAATTAATTAAATTTATTATTTTATTTTATTCTTTTTCTATTTGAAAAGTAAAGTAATTTCATTACAATTGTATTTGAGTAACGAGTAAAGTAACTTCATTACATTTATCTCTTAGTAACGAGTAAAGTAACTTAATTACTTTTTAAAAGTAACTTACCCAACACTGGGATTAATTATACCTAGTTGTTAAAATAAAAATAATTGACGACAAACCGAGCTGTATATTATTACATTACCTATGAGGCTCTTTGCCTAAGCCTATGAACAAGAAAATAAATATTTCACAAAGGACATGGGAGCCTTTACGTTATGGAAACAATAATATTATTGTTGGTGATAGATGTAATTATATTTCAAATTGTATGTTGTTTCAGATAGTCCATGTTATTAAACTATAAATAATATGAGTATTGTGTGTAAACAGAGTAAATTAGGTTTACAATATTATTATGAGTCAATTGTCAATTTATAGGTTATTACTTATTAATATACCGTTATTATATTTTCGTGTTTCTAATAACGGTATATTCAAGTATTTATTTTGTATCAATTGAAGAATTCAAAGAATTTATAATTGATATTTTTATTTATTAATCCTTGTACATAACATAGCAGTAATTTTTTTGTGCTACGTTTTTAACGACAACATTGAACTATTTTACGATTTTTTTTTTTTTGGGAACTTGTTCTTAATGCACCTCTGTCCCAACGGTTCCCTTACCCCCATTCTCAGGACATGCACATTGTATTCAATGCTCTAATTTTCCAATGAGGAATTTAATTAATTTCACATTTTTTTTTTTTTTTAAGATATATTCATGTAGTAATACCCCCCCCCCCCCAGCACTAAAGATGTTATAGGGTTGCCCTCTTCTGACAAAAATTGGGAATAGGACAACCCTATAACATTTTTAGTGCTACAAAATTCGATGTAACAATTTTTCTAGTTATTCAGCTAGTACTAGAATATATGATATAATTTGAAAAATAATTATAACAAGGTTAGTGCATATTTTTATCTATAGACCAATACATTTTTAAATCAACTTATTTGGGTCCAATTTTTTTTAAAGATTATAGTCTGGATTGTCAAATAAACTACTCAAAACTATTTTGTCAATTGTCTTAAAACACATAGAACTTTATTCTATTATCCCCCCCTCAAAAAAACAAAACTGTGTGATTATCGTTCTAAATAGGTATATAAATTATATTAAAAATTATAACAGAATTATCAAACCGTAAAAGGTAAAATAATATATTATTATATTATGATAAAACTACCTATATCTACATGACGTGATATGAAAAGAAATATAATACCTTTAATTTAAATTCCGAAATTTCGATCTTAATACTCATGCAGTATTTGTTTTTACAGGCTTTCAGCTATGCCGTTTTAGAAAAAGAAGTATATAAAAATCATATAATGAATCATGACAAATTTAGAACGTAAAAAATATGTAAAAAGTGAATGTTTTTGCCCAAGAACGTACTGGGGACCTTCTTTGCGTTAGGTAGATACGTGATAACCACTACACCATGAAAAACATTTAAACTTTCACGTGATTTTGATTGCCAGTTAATTTTTAGTAATAAGTACCTACAACGACCATAATAACTAACTAACTTTATGTGAATAAGTAATTGAAATGAAACGCATGTAGTATAGTTTTAAGTATAAATATAAAGACTCACCTTTCCAAAATATCTATAGTTCTATAGGCTATATTACATTTTTAATTTAACTAATTTGACTATAATAACAGCTTTGGCACCACATAATTGTTCATTTAATCTTATCTTGCAGTTCCAAAACCAATTCGAGTTTTCATTATCATAATAGGTACTTTAATGGTTTATGGTTTATGGATACAGAATTATCTTTTGCAGTGGCTAAATCTACTTTGACTTTTAGTGGATCAAAAATTTTGTATTTATGATCTTCCATAATTGTTAAAACCATTTCTATATATAATAAATAATTCATTATTTATTTGAAAGAAAATTTGGCTTCAAAATTGATGGTTATTAACCCGATATTAAATTTTATTTGGCAGTTTGTTTCTAAAGATTAAGTGTTAGATTATATACAAGTTATAATAATATTACAATTTACAATGTATTTATAAAGTTTGTGGTACCTAAAATGCTATGATTTTCGTGGTTTGGTTTTTGTCAAGCGCTTCTGCTATGTTGGATGGTATGTTGAGGTCGATGCGTGATGTTTAAGAGTATTGTATGCATTCCTCCACTATGTGTTTGATGGTTAATGCAGTGTGACAAGAGTCGCATATTGGTTGGAGTTCTTTGCTAATTAAATATGAGTGGGTGAGGAAGAAGTGTTCAACTCTGGTTCGGGTGATTGCGATGTCTTGGCGTCTGTTAAAATTTGAAGGAGTGTTCCATTTGACCATTTGTTGATTGTTTTTAATATTTTTTAGTTTGTTGGATATGATGGTATTGCATTTCAGTGATTTTGCCAAGATAAAAGGATTTTTTGATAGATAAAATTGTTTATGTTGTTGGTGCCGTTGGTGGGTACATTGTTTATTGTAGGATTTGGAAAGGTTTTCGTTGCCTGGTCGCCATATTTTCCTACTTTTTCGTTTCCTGCAATACCATTGTGAGATAGCAAATTGGTCAGCGGTTAGCCGCCACCGTCAGTCTCTAAATTGTGTATAATCAATAGGCATGTTTTAGTTGGCCACCACTTTCAGCCGCCAAGTAGTGTAACCACGGCATCATTTTATCGGTGATTGACCACCACAGTCAGCCGCCAAGTTGTGTAGGTCGCGGAGTCGTTTTGTCCCTTCAACCACGGGGTGGATGGGTCAGAAGTCGCCTTCGTAACAACTGCCGCCGTAACAGTCAGCCGCCAAGTTTTGGGAGCCCATTGGCATCGTTTTGTCGGCGGTTGGTGGCCACCGTCAGCCACCACTCGTAAAAGATCGGCGGTGTTCATCATGTTAAAAAATTTCTAATTCATATTTGTAATATATAATATAATATATTATATGTGAAAATATTATTTTGTAGTTAGAAATTCATAATAAATAAATACAATAAAATAAAATATTATTCATGGGTACATGAAACTTTTAAAGTATATTTTTATATTTTATACACCCATTAAATACAGGAATATCTAGTAATGTATTGGGTACCCACTTGGCACCTATAGTTGTAAAACGTCTTATATCTCATCCTTAGAATTGTCTTAAATATTTTTTAATAAACTAGGTAGGTAATAGGTATATATACTTATTTTAAGCTATTACTGTTTACATAATATTAACCAATTAAATCATGATGCCTCTGGTTTTTCCCATAACATTTACGCTATATAGAATAAAATAAGATTTTTTTCATTAATAGCATTGCTTTGTTTGCGATTTACACGAAAAAAAATACATTACCCACATTTTCACATAATAATGGTCACATATTGTATAATATGATATAAACTATGATTGTATGATATAGAAAAAAAAATAATGGTTTCTCATGCGTTATTCGTACTCAGACAACTCACTATATACTTTTTGTTTAACTAGTCTGATGATTGTGTGTGTTTTTTGAAGAATTAACAAGGAAATGTTAGAAAGTCAGAACTTGCTTTGATGAAGATTAATATTGCTATATAGGTACCAATAAATATATATTATATAGATGCCATTATAAATATTTTTTTTATACATAAATAAATATAAATACAATTTAATACATATTTAAAATATTATATAGGTAATAATAAAACTGTGCATTTATTTGCATTATTTATTGTATCATAATAATCAAGTGGCTTTCTAAAAATTTTTTAGTAGTTGCTATGCTAATAGTAAGTTGGCTCATAATCAAAATAATTCCTATACCTTACGCCACTGTCTTGTAATATTATTGTGTCGATAACATTTTTAATTAGTGATTGAAAAAAATTCTATCAACATAATTAATGCTTAAACTATTATTAAATACTTAAATTTATCTTATCTGTGTACAGTACAGTGTCCATAGCCACTGAGCCACGTACCAACTTCTTTTTTCATATTTTTAATTATACTCGAAATTCAAAACATTCATAGGGCATGAAAAAATAAGCTCCTTCTACAGAATAATCTAAGTAACAGAAACGTCGTTTTAAAACCGTTTTCAACCCGTTGCCCCACTACAATTACAATATTTGAAATTTTTTTTCGCCAAAAGTGTTCCTCAATGATGGTTTAAACTATCTGTATTAGTTTTGAAGATGGATCTTCAATCCTTCAATCAAAAAATATAACAAATTAAATTTGTAGTAAAAAAGCCTTCAACAGGTATGTCGCCCACACCTATGTAAGTAAAAAGTAACATATTCCGAATTTTTTTGGCATCAACGTTTAGACGGCTATTTAAATATATAGTTGCGCCCTTTTGCAAGAGAAAAAGAAAGCTCCTTCTACCAAATAATCTAAGTAACAGAAACGTCGTTTTAAAACCGTTTTCAACCCGTTGCCCCACTATAATTTAAATATTTTAAATATTTTTTCGCCAAAAGTGTTCCTCAATGACGGTTTAAACTATCTGTATTAGTTTTGAAGTTGGATCTTAAATCCTTCAATCAAAAAATATAACAAATTAAATTTGTAGTAAAAAAGCCTTCAACAGGTATGTCGCCCACACCTATGTAAGTAAAAAGTAACATTTTCCGAATTTCTTTGGCATCAACGATATTACCGCTTTTTTAATATATAGTTGCGCCCATTTGCAAGAGAAAAAGAAAGCTCCTTCTACCGAATAATCCAAGTAACAGAAACGTCGTTTTAAAACCATTTTCAACCCGTTGCCCCACTATAATTACAATATTTTAAATATTTTTTCGCCAAAAGTGTTCCTCAATGACGGTTTCAACTATCTGTATTAGTTTTGAAGTTGGATCTTAAATCCTTCAATCAAAAAATATAACAAATTAAATTTGTAGTAAAAAAGCCTTCAACAGGTATGTCGCCCACACCTATGTAAGTAAAAAGTATAATTTTCCGAATTTTTTTTGCATCAACGTTTAGACGGCTATTTAAATATATAGTAGCGCCCTTTTGCAAGAGAAAAAGAAAGCTTCTTCTACCGAATAATCCAAGTAACAGAAACGTCGTTTTAAAACCGTTTTCAACCCGTTGCCTCACTATAATTACAATATTTGAAATTTTTTTTTGTCAAAAGTGTTCCTCAATGACGGTTTAAACTATCTGTATTAGTTTTGAAGTTGGATCTTAAATCCTTCAATCAAAAAATATAACAAATTAAATTTGTAGTAAAAAAGCCTTCAACAGGTATGTCGCCCACACCTATGTAAGTAAAAAGTAACATTTTCCGAATTTTTTTGGCATCAACGATATAACCGCTATTTTAATATATAGTTGCGCCCATTTGCAAGAGAAAAAGAAAGCTCCTTCTACCGAATAATCCAAGTAACAGAAACGTCGTTTTAAAACCGTTTTCAACCCGTTGCCCCACTACAATTACAATATTTGAAATTTTTTTTCGCCAAAAGTGTTCCTCAATGATGGTTTAAACTATCTGTATTAGTTTTGAAGATGGATCTTCAATCCTTCAATCAAAAAATATAACAAATTAAATTTGTAGTAAAAAAGCCTTCAACAGGTATGTCGCCCACACCTATGTAAGTAAAAAGTAACATATTCCGAATTTTTTTGGCATCAACGTTTAGACGGCTATTTAAATATATAGTTGCGCCCTTTTGCAAGAGAAAAAGAAAGCTCCTTCTACCAAATAATCTAAGTAACAGAAACGTCGTTTTAAAACCGTTTTCAACCCGTTGCCCCACTATAATTTAAATATTTTAAATATTTTTTCGCCAAAAGTGTTCCTCAATGACGGTTTAAACTATCTGTATTAGTTTTGAAGTTGGATCTTAAATCCTTCAATCAAAAAATATAACAAATTAAATTTGTAGTAAAAAAGCCTTCAACAGGTATGTCGCCCACACCTATGTAAGTAAAAAGTAACATTTTCCGAATTTCTTTGGCATCAACGATATTACCGCTTTTTTAATATATAGTTGCGCCCATTTGCAAGAGAAAAAGAAAGCTCCTTCTACCGAATAATCCAAGTAACAGAAACGTCGTTTTAAAACCATTTTCAACCCGTTGCCCCACTATAATTACAATATTTTAAATATTTTTTCGCCAAAAGTGTTCCTCAATGACGGTTTCAACTATCTGTATTAGTTTTGAAGTTGGATCTTAAATCCTTCAATCAAAAAATATAACAAATTAAATTTGTAGTAAAAAAGCCTTCAACAGGTATGTCGCCCACACCTATGTAAGTAAAAAGTATAATTTTCCGAATTTTTTTTGCATCAACGTTTAGACGGCTATTTAAATATATAGTAGCGCCCTTTTGCAAGAGAAAAAGAAAGCTTCTTCTACCGAATAATCCAAGTAACAGAAACGTCGTTTTAAAACCGTTTTCAACCCGTTGCCTCACTATAATTACAATATTTGAAATTTTTTTTTGTCAAAAGTGTTCCTCAATGACGGTTTAAACTATCTGTATTAGTTTTGAAGTTGGATCTTAAATCCTTCAATCAAAAAATATAACAAATTAAATTTGTAGTAAAAAAGCCTTCAACAGGTATGTCGCCCACACCTATGTAAGTAAAAAGTAACATTTTCCGAATTTTTTTGGCATCAACGATATAACCGCTATTTTAATATATAGTTGCGCCCATTTGCAAGAGAAAAAGAAAGCTCCTTCTACCGAATAATCCAAGTAACAGAAACGTCGTTTTAAAACCGTTTTCAACCCGTTGCCTCACTATAATTACAATATTTTAAATATTTTTTCGCCAAAAGTGTTCCTCAATGACGGTTTAAACTATCTGTATTAGTTTTGAAGTTGGATCTTAAATCCTTCAATCAAAAAATATAACAAATTAAATTTGTAGTAAAAAAGCCTTCAACAGGTATGTCGCCCACACCTATGTAAGTAAAAAGTATAATTTTCCGAATTTTTTTTCATCAACGTTTAGACGGCTATTTAAATATATAGTTGCGCCCTTTTGCAAGAGAAAAAGAAAGCTTCTTCTACCGAATAATCCAAGTAACAGAAACGTCGTTTTAAAACCGTTTTCAACCCGTTGCCTCACTATAATTACAATATTTGAAATTTTTTTTTGTCAAAAGTGTTCCTCAATGACGGTTTAAACTATCTGTATTAGTTTTGAAGTTGGATCTTAAATCCTTCAATCAAAAAATATAACAAATTAAATTTGTAGTAAAAAAGCCTTCAACAGGTATGTCGCCCACACCTATGTAAGTAAAAAGTAACATTTTCCGAATTTCTTTGGCATCAACGATATTACCGCTTTTTTAATATATAGTTGCGCCCATTTGCAAGAGAAAAAGAAAGCTCCTTCTACCGAATAATCCAAGTAACAGAAACGTCGTTTTAAAACCATTTTCAACCCGTTGCCCCACTATAATTACAATATTTTAAATATTTTTTCGCCAAAAGTGTTCCTCAATGACGGTTTCAACTATCTGTATTAGTTTTGAAGTTGGATCTTAAATCCTTCAATCAAAAAATATAACAAATTAAATTTGTAGTAAAAAAGCCTTCAACAGGTATGTCGCCCACACCTATGTAAGTAAAAAGTATAATTTTCCGAATTTTTTTTGCATCAACGTTTAGACGGCTATTTAAATATATAGTTGCGCCCTTTTGCAAGAGAAAAAGAAAGCTTCTTCTACCGAATAATCCAAGTAACAGAAACGTCGTTTTAAAACCGTTTTCAACCCGTTGCCTCACTATAATTACAATATTTGAAATTTTTTTTTGTCAAAAGTGTTCCTCAATGACGGTTTAAACTATCTGTATTAGTTTTGAAGTTGGATCTTAAATCCTTCAATCAAAAAATATAACAAATTAAATTTGTAGTAAAAAAGCCTTCAACAGGTATGTCGCCCA